GCTTTAACCACTGAGCCACGCCCGGCCAGGCTGGGTTATTGTCTTGTGGGGCTGTCCTGTGCTATAGGATGTTTAGCAGCATCTCTGGCCTCTACCCACTGCTAAATGCCCCCGGGTGGGACAGCGCCCTCCCCAGGTTAACCATGTGTGCCACCTTTGCGTTGTGAGAATTTTAGCATTTTATTGTTTTTGAAGACACTGCCTGTGGGGCCTTCAGCTTGGAGGCCCCTGGCGTGGCCCGCCATTGAGGGAGGGCTGTTTTCTTCCTAGGCTCTGGCCCTGATAAAAGGCTTTATTTACATAGTAAAACTCAAACAAATACTTGCTTCATCCACAGTTTTGTAGCTGGAGAGAGGAAATCGGAGCCGGAACTGCAGAGAGCTCTGCGTTTTACAGGCATCCAGCGGGGCTGCTGGGTAAGGGCTGTCTCTGGGTTGAGTTTTAAGTGCAGGGGATCTGACGTCCTGTCCCGGGAGTGGCATTGTTGGAATCTGAAGTGCCTGTGTGAAGTGCCACCAGACTCCCACTGCAGGTGGCCACGCCGACCTGGAGCTTCACATTTTACTGGGGCTGGAAAACACACACAACCCGCTTCTCCAGGCTGCTGTGGGGAAGCGAGCAGAACAATGCCTGTGTCCTGAGAAAGTGCCAGCCTTTGACCTGTTTGTATTTCAGGGCCTGCACCTGGATGCGGGACTCTCAGGACCTGCGAGTAGGTACCAGGTCCCTGCACAGGGTCCCGCTCTCCGTGCCTGTTCCTCTCCCCGTCGGTCCAGCAAATGGGGAAACTTCAGTGGGAGTGGGGAATGGGGGGGCGGGCCCAGAATTCCAGGAAGCGTTCGGTGCCCCAGCTGGATGTCAGCAGGCCCCCTGCAGCCTCGGGAATGTTTGTGAAGGGGAAGGAATGAAGCTGGGCCCCTCCTTCAGCCTGTCTTGGAGACCCCCTCCCCCCCAAGAATGTCAGAGCCTCGGCCAGCAGCCCCACAAGACACAGTCATAGGGCCTGGCCTGCTCCCAAGGGTCGCTCCCCATTTCAGGTTGCCTTTGGGGGAACAGAACCGCCCAGAGGGGTTGGGAGGGCTGAGGATTGGGTTGCCCACAGCCTGACTCACCCTCTCATGGGGTTCAGACTGTTAAAACATTTCATCAGATGTGAGGCAAATCGGTCCTCTCTGGTTGGACATTGCAGGCGAGATTGAAGGGAATCAGGGCCCGTGGGTGTGGGCGTCACACAGCCAGGTGCATGTGTCCTATGGAAATCGTAGCCCGACTTCCCGTGGGGGAACGCTCAAGGCCAAGGCTGGCCTGTGGGGGTGGGTGGGGGTGGGCGGCACTGACAACTGATCTACGGGCCTCGGAGGTTTGAGAAGGGGCTCATTTTGTTGTTGTTAATCATCTCCTGAGGATATTTTTTCCACTGATTTTTAGAGAGAGTAGAAGAGAGGGAGGAGGAGAGAGAGAGAAACATCAATGGTTGAGACCTTGATTGGTTGCCTCCCGCACACACCCAACCGGGGCCAGGGATTGAGCCTGCAACCCAGGTACGCGCCTTGACCAGGAATCGAATCCTTGACTCTTTGGTCTGAGGGCCGATGCTCTAACCACTGGGCCACACCAGCCAGGGCAAGTGTTGCTGGATTTCTGTGGCTGAGAACAGCCCTGCATTAGTACCTGCACCGAGGGGTGCTGCTGCTTTACTGGGGCCCGGCAGAGATACAGAAATGCATGGTCACCGTGAGGGCTGGGCTGGTGCTGAGGGCCGGGCTCCTGCCATCTCAGGAGACCCAGGTGCTGGGCACTGTGGTCGCCACGGCCACCACTTGCCATTGTGAGGTCCCAGCCGCAGTGTTTTCTGAGTTGTTGGGGTGAGCGTGATTCTGAAGGCTCATTTGTATTGAAGAATTAATGGCGCGGTTTTAGAAAGAGGTGAGTTTTCTTTCCTGTGCTGAAAGGCCCTTTCAGTTGGCAGGCCTCCTGCGCCAGCCGCAGCCAGATGGCTGTGTGTCACCCTGCCCCGGCCTGCGCCTGCCTGGGCCCTGCCGCCTCTCATCCTGGGCCCTGGGAGTTCCTGGGTCCTCCGCAGGGCGTGGGTGCGGGCAGGCAGCCTAAGGTCCCATCCCGGGGCTGGTGCCCGGGCTTTGAGCTCGGCTGGTGGAGGAGTCTTTCTCTTAGACATGAATTTGGCTTGACTCACATCTGTAAATCCAGGGGCTTGTCTGGTGTGAAAGCTGCGAGCGTAAGCTGCATATCAATCACACTTTTCCACCGGGATGGGTGGGCTCTTCCCGGGTCAGTTTTGGGTATTTCTTAACATGCCCTAACAGTCATATTTGGGAAAATGAAACCCGGGGTGCCCGAGAGCTAAATGGAGACGGCTGTGATAATGAGAGGCCCGAGAAAAAGCGTCTCACCCTGTCCTGGCGAGCTGGGCTCTCTGAACCCACCTTTCCGTTCCCGGCCAGAGAAATGCCTCCTGGCTGCGAAAGGGCCCCGTTTTCTATTTGGACAGTGTGTGGGCGGCCCCCCTGCCAAGGCTGTTCTGCCTCAGCCACAAATAAAACCAGGTTTGTGGGTTTCTTCCGGGCTCTGGGGAGCTTTTCTCCTATCCCGGGCACAGCATAAACATTCGACAGGATCATTTGAGGATTTAAAGGCCGAACAGACGTTTTATTCAGGTCTGTCTGCTTTGACTTTCAAATGCTGTGGCCAGGCTGGGGGTGGGGGGGCAGGGCTGGGAGGCGGGGCTCTGCAGCCCCTCCCCGCCCTGGAGCTGCCAACTCTCGGAAAAGGCGCAGGGTTACCCGGTGCTCTCCTGGCCTTTCAGGACATCGCCCGACCCCGGGCTCTACCCTGGAAGAACTGTTTCCCTGTGACCCTGTTGGATCGGACACTTGCATTGTCCCTTACAAGAAGGAGCCTGTTCTGTTCAACAGTTTGAACACACCTTAGGACGAGCACTCGAGTAACCATTAGAAAATCATTTATTTTCCGTTCAAAGGCCAGGTGTTCCGAATGGCAAAGCAAAAGTACCACTTTGTACCTGGGCTGGTTTTTTATTTTTATTTTTTTATTTTAATCCTCACATAAGGATATTTTTTCCCTTTGATTTTGAGAGAGGGGAAGGGGGAAGGTGGAAGGTATGTGTGGGGGGAGAGAGCCACTGATGTGAGAGAGACACATTGACTGGTTGCCTCCGCAGGATCGAACCTGCAACCCAGGGGGCCGTGCCCTTGTGACCTTGAGCTAGGCCCTTTGGTCTGTGGGCCAGTGCTCTAACCACTGGGCCACACCAGCCAGGGCCTGGGCTGTGTTTTCAATCCCTGGGGTATTTAGCTGTAGGGAATGTCGGTTGCCTCCGTGGGCTAGGGAGGGGTGCCGATGGTCTGTCCTTTGGCCAAAGGGGCCTAAGGCTTTCCTATGGAAGGCACGCGGTGAAGGTCAAGGAGAGCCCAGGCAGGGGGGCTTCTGAGAGCTTTCAGGACATTTTTACTCCTCCATAGAAGGGAGGGGATACAGTGTTAGTGTATCTTTTTGAGTTTTGTTTTTGTTTTTATCGAAGTGGTTCCTCAGGCTTGCGGCCACGCCAGCCCCCACCCCAGCTCATTTCCTCCGCCCGGGGGATGATGATGGATGGATACTTTGTAGCCGATTTTCCCTGGCGTTTGCTTACTTGCGGTATTGCTGCGCCTTGTGTTTGTTCCTTTGGGAGGTGACTAGTGACTTCCGACTATAGAAGGTTGGGATTTAGCCTTCTCCCCCTACGTCTCCGTCCCACCACACTCCCCATGTACTTGTGGTTAGAAGAGGGCTTTTCAGCTTTAGCGCTGCTGATATTTTAGACCAGATAATTCTGTGTCATTGGGAGCTGTGTCCCGTGGGGTGTGTAGCAGCATCTCTGGTCTCCACCCGCTAGATGCCAGTAGCAACCCCAACCTAGTTGTGACAACGAAATACGTCTCCAGGCATTGCCAGATGTGCCTTGGGGAGAAAAATCACCCCCTTTGAGGACCACTGAATTAATATTTAGTGTTTACTTCGATTGCCAGGCCCTATCAGTGCTGAGCCCGGTGGTATGAACTATAATTCCCCACCCCGCCTCCCGGCACAAGTTTTCACAATCATTAAGGTTAATGGTACTTTGTGGAGGGTTTTTTGCCTTTTTTTTTAATGTACTTATCACTGATTCATCCTCCAGATCTTCCCTATTTGTAAAAAAATCTTTTAATACAGTGGTACCTTGGTTTTCTAATGTAATCCGTTCTGGAAGACTGTTCGCGTCCTGAAACGTTCGAAAACCAAGATACCGCTGTATACTTGGAAACACATGGGGAGTAGTGTTTGGAGGCCTTTTGTGTCTGAAAATGTCGTTACTGGACCTCAACAGTGAATGTGGTGTTTGGCACAGAAGCCTCAGTTTGAGACAGTTGTCCTGGGCACCCTGCAGGTGGTGGTCTGTTCTGCACGCATGTTCAGGATTGCTAGGAAGGGACACGCCTTTCTGCTTCTGGACCCTTTGAACCGGCTCTCGTGTTTTTTTTAAAAATGTCATTTTTTTATTTCTTTGTATTTTNCCTGGGGAAGGGACACGCCTTTCTGCTTCTGGACCCTTTGAACTGGCTCTCGTGTTTTTTTTAAAAATGTCATTTTTTTATTTCTTTGTATTTTTGTTCTTGGGGGACTTTGTGCAACTTTATCTTCCCGTTTTCCCGTTGAGTTGTAAATGGGTGCCCCTCGTTTTTTACAAATTGCGAAGTTTTCGTTGTTCTCGAATGTTCCTTGTTGATACCACACTGATCTTGTTTCACGGCTCTTCTCTCTTACCGTTGAGGCTATTTAGATGTTTTGGTTTGTTTAAATCTTCCTGCATACGTTCCGTTTCTGAGCTCTGCTGCTTTTAGTTTGTTCCGGCTTCTCTCTCCCCGTTAGAGGGAGGCCCTCCTCAGTGTCCCGCGCCCTGCTGTCCGCGGGTGGGTAAGAGCGGGTGACCCCAGTGCTCCTTGGAGGCTCTGTGTGTGTGTGTGTGGGAGGGGGTGGTCTGGCCAGGCTGCTTCCCTGGGCTCCTCGAAGGCCCACAGCTTCGAGTGTTTCTTTGGGGCTGGTCGGACCTTGTGAGGGAGGAGTTTTTTGCTCTACTGAAGATGCAGTTCTGGTGTATCCGGCAGATCGGAATGGTGCGGAGAGGTTTGGAGGACTTCTGCTCGCTCAGAGGGGCCCTGCTTTGCCCGGGGAGGCGAGAGCGGTCGCCTCTGTCCCTGCTCACAGTGGTGCCCGTTTGGAGGGCAGGTCCTCGCCGGTGATCAGTGGCGATGCTTGTAGACGTGGCTGGGTCTTCCACTCTGTCTTTGACTTCTAATCCTTAACGCTGGAAGCTTTCCCGTTTTAGTATATTACCATGGGGGTTAAGTGAGGTTATGTGTAAAGCTAGCTCCGGTGAATGAAATTTCCTCTCTCCTCTCCCTCCCCTAATTAATCCTGCTTCATTAAGAATTTGGAAAGCTGTAAAAAGTCACGTTAATGTGCTGAACCATCCGTTTACTCTGGAAAAACTCCAGGCTGGATTTTTGTGCGGCAACATTTTAACGTTTCTCCTAGAGATTCTGTTACTGATTTTGACCATTTCGTGTGGGACTTGAAGCATTTCATTAAAATACACATCCATTGTCCAGCACCGGTACATTCGCTGGGCTTTTTATAGCTCACTGGAACGATTCT